AATAAATTCAAAGAGCAAATGAACAGATATGCACAAATTAATTACAACTTCAAGGAATAAAAAGAAGGAAGAGGAAGAAAAGGAAGAATAGGAGGCAAGAAAGCACAATTATTTTACTGGTTCACTTTTTAAACTATATTATTATTATTATTTTATTTTAAATATGTAAGGTACAATTCAGGGTTAGGTATCCAAATGTTGATTATGCAGGTATCCTTGTTGATGAGGTGTGCCCCTCCCCCACTGGCAGTTTCCCACTACTGCCAATCACTTTTTTATATTATTATGATAATTGTTCAAGGTCATCTTATGAGTGAGAACATATGGTACTCTGTTCTCTGTCTCTGTGATTGATCACTGAGTACAATCGACTCTAAATCCATCCAAGTTGTTGCGAACTCCATGTTTGTCCTTCTTTATGGCTGCATAATATTCCATTGTGTATATGTGCCACATTTTTTTTAATCCAGTCCAGCTTCGATGGGCAGCATAGTTGTTTCCATGTTTTCGATATTGTGAATAGAGCTAAAACAAACATACTTGTGCAGGTATCTTTTTGGAGAATGATTTGAGTTCCTCCAGGTATATTACCAATAGGGAAGTTGCTGGATCATATGGAAGGTCAATTTCTAGTTCTTTCAGAAATTGCCACACTGTCTTCCAAAGAGGTTGCACTAGTTTGCATTCCCACCAGCAGTGTAGAAGCATTCCTTGCTCTCCGCATACTTGCCAGCATGTGTTGTTGTTTGTTTTATTAAAATGATGGCCATTCTTACTGGGGTTAGGTGGTATCTCAGTGTGGTTTTGAGTCTGAGCACTTTTTCATGTGTCTGTTGTCTGCCTGTATGTCTTCTTTGGAGAAGTTGCCTATTCATGTCTTTTGCCTACTTTGGATGGGGCTATTTGTTTTTTTTCCTTTCAGCACATCTGAGTACCTTTTAGATCCTAGATGTTATGAGTTTGTCAGATATACTGTTGGCAAATATTTTTTCCAATTCTGTGGGCTGTTTTCCTGCTCTCTTGATGGTTTCTTTTGCTTTGCAGAAGCTCATTAGTGTGATGAGGCCCCACTTGTCTATTTTATTACTTTAGGTATGGCCATTTAGGGTTCTAAATAGGAATTGGTTGCCAGTTCCAATTTCCATAAGGGTGTCTCCTGCATTTTCTAAGATTTTTATAGTTTGAGGTTTTACGTTTAGGTCCTTGATCCATTTAAAGATGATTTTTGTATATGGTGATAGGTAGGGTATTTAACTTTTAAAATAAGAAGTCGCACTAGTTTGGATTCCCACCAGCAGTGTAGAAGCGTTCCTTTTTCTCCGCATCCTCGCCAGCATCTGTTGCTGTTTGTTTTATTAATGATAGCCACTCTTACTGGAGTAAGAATGGGCATTTCTCCGATGATTAGTGAGGCTGAGCACTTTTTCAAGACGCTTTTCAAAGAAGATATACAAGCATGCATCAGATACATGAAAAAATGCTCATCCTCACTAATTATCAAAGAAATTCAAATCAAAACTACAATGAGATACTACCCAACTCCAGTAAGGTTGGCCATCATTAATAAATCAAAAAGCAAGAGATGCTGGCAGGGGTGTAGAGAAAAGAAAATGCTTCTACACTTCTGGTGGGAGTGCAGGCTAGTTCAATCTCTATTTAAAGCAGTATTGTGATACCTAAAAGAACTAAAAATTGACCTTTCATATGATTCACCAATCCCTTTCTTGGGAATATATCTGGAAGAACGTAAATTGTTCTACAAAAATGATACCTGCACACGCATGTTTATAGCCACACTATTGAAAATATGGAACCAACCCTACTGCCCATCAAAAGTGGAATGGATAAAGAAAATGTGGTACATATACATGATGGACTATTACATAACCACAACCAAGAATGAAATCATGGACTTCGCAGTAAACTGGATGGAGTTGGAGACCATCATAGTTTGTGATCTATCACAAAAACAGAGAACTTAATACTGCATGTTCTCACCCATAAGAGGAACCTGAACATTAATTGTATTAGCATAAGGGAGGGATAGGCAGTTGCTGGGCAATGCCATAGGAGGGAGGGAGTGAGAAGGAGGCATGTAACAACACAGAGGGTACTTGGTACCAAATCAGGGAAATGAGGGCCAGTTAGAGGCCCAAACTTCACCTGCATGCAGCCTACTTCTGTAGTTAATCCTTACGTGAACACCACATTTCTAGGATAAATTTTTTTTTTTTAAAGAATACAACCTAATTAAAATATAGGCAAGCCGGGCTCGGTGGCTCAGCCTGTAATCCCGAACCTTTGGGAGGCTGAGGTGAGTGGATTGCCTGAACCCGCAGATTCGAGACCCGCCTGGGCAACTTGGTGAGACCACATCTCTACAATAAATTAAAAAAAAAAAAAAAATCAACCGGGCGTGGTAGCGCATGCCTGTAATTCTGGTTACTTGGAAGGCTGAGTTGGAAGGATCACCAGAGCCCAGCACGTCGAGGCTGCGGTGGCCGGGATCAGCCACTGCACTCCAGTCTGGGCTACAGAGTGAGACCTCCAACTCAAAAAAAAAAAAAAAAAAAAAAATATATATATATATATATATAGAGAGAGAGAGAGAGAGAGAGAGAGAGAGAGAGAGAGAGGCAAAAGATCTGAACAGACACACCTCACCAGAGAAGACTGACAGATGCCAACTCAGCAAATAAAAATATTCACAATATCATATGTCATTTGACATTATGAATTGCAACAGCAATAAATTACCATTACACACCAACTACAATGGGTAAAATCCAAAACACAGACAACGCCAAATGCAAACAAGGATGTGGAGCAACAGGAGCTCTCATTCATTGCTGGTGAGGATAATAAAAATAATACAGCTGCTTTATAAAGATAGGTCATCAGCAGGGCTCGGTGGCTCAGCCTGTAATCCCGTGCCTTTGGGAGGCTAAGGTGAGTAGATTGCCTGAGCCCGCGGGTTCGAAACCTGCCTAGGCAGCAAGACCTCATCTCTACAATAAATTAAAAAATCAGCCGGGGATGATAGCGCGCGCCTGTAGTTCCAGCTACTTGGAAGGCTGAGGCGGAAGGATCACCGGAGCCCAGCAGGTCGAGGCTGTGGTGGCTGGGAGCAGCCACTGCACTCCAGTCTGGGCGATAGAGTGAGACTCCAACTCAAAAAAAAAAAAGTGGGCCAAAGGAAAATTATAGACAATCCTAGAATTAATTCCAGTTTATGGGGGAAAAAAAGTAGTCCTCATTTTCAACACTAATTTTATCCACGACTCAGGTACTTAACCCATCACTTTCAAGTACCTCAGATGATAAACCAAGTATCAGGAGATGGGCTGCAGCTCTGCACAATCTGTGTGACCATAGACAAGATGATTTCAAAGAACCTTTATAACTCATGTCTGCAATCTTACTGCATCAGGCATCTCTTTTCATTCTTGAATCCTTAATATCTCCATCTTTTAATGAATCTTTTATCTAACATTAAAAAATTCTTCATCAGTGAACTCCTTTTTTCTCTGCCGTAGTACCACATTTCTGGCTCAGATATTTTCCCCTAGCTCATTGCAATAGTTTCTAAATTGGGTATCCTGCTTCTAGTCTCTCTCTAATCTAATTTTATCCTACAACCTCAGTCAGTGTGAGATTCCTAAAACAGATTTCTACTCATGTTGCCTGCATGACAAAAAACTGTCAATGATCTCCCAGAGCCAATAGAATTGAATACAAATTCCTGAGCCTAGTATACCACAATATGGCCTCAACTTGACTGATCCTATCTTGCCTTACACTACCCTCAGATAGCAACACAAATTCGAGACAAACCATTTCCCAAATGTCCTCCATGTTTTCCATCCTTGGAGTCATTGGCTTCCATTTGAAAGGTCCATTTTTGCATTCATACCTGTCAAACACTTGACCTATTTTTGAATGTCTGCCTCAAATTGGAAAGGCAACATCCTTCCACAAAGGCAATTCCCTACATCCAAATGTCAATCTTCTACTATCCACTTTCACACCCCCCCACAAAAGCACAAAATACACATACATATTATAGCTTATAAAAAAATTCTACTTATGTAAGTATTACATGTATTCTTACTTCGTATTCCAATTGTAAGCTGGAGAAGGGCAGGAAGCATGTCTTATTGTGTCTATAGTCCTGCTTTGCGCAGCATAGTACCTGGCATGCAGTAGGCACTCCAAATTAGTACCTTACTTGAACTGAAGTCACTACAACTCCCATGTAAGTGCTAGTCTCAGGACAGGACCAAAGAAGGGGGAAGAGGGGACTATGTAATAACTCTGGGAGAAAAAGTAGAAGATCTGTTCCTGATGTACCAAATATAATACTAGTTTAACTCTATCCTCATGCAGAATCTGTAATTAGAGACTTGGAATCGAAAGGAACTCCGGATATCATGGAGTAGCATTCCTCTTCTTTTTTTTGAGTTGGAGTCTCATTCTGTCACTCAGACTGGAGTGCAGTGGACGCTCCCAGCCACCGCAGCCTCGCCTGCTGGGCTCCAGTGATCCTTCCGCCTCAGCCTTCCGAGCAGCTGGAACTACAAGCACGTGCTACCACGCCCGGCTAATTTTTTAATTTGTTTGTAGAGATGAGGTCTCGCCAAGTTGCCCAGGTGGGTCTCGAACCCGCGGGCTCAGGCAATCCACTCACCTCAGCCTCCCAAAGGCGCGGGATTACAGGCTGAGCCACCGAGCCCAGCTAGCATTCCTCTTCTTACAGATAGGGGAACTGATGTCAAGAAAAAAATATCTTATCCAAGGTCATACCATGAGTTAATGGAGAAGCAAGCTTGAGAACTCAGAGCTCCTAAGTACCAGGCCACAATCTGCACTGCAAGAACTACTATCACATGAGGTTCCCTGCTGAGACAGTGTATGGGGAAAGCCTTGAAATAGGAAACTGCCACTGTTTATTTCCAAGGCACAGCTGGCAATGGAAGGAGGAGTGGGCTTTTTGAACATACCTCTTGTAACTGAGATTCTTTCTTTTTGGAAGACAGATGTAAGTGCCGGTCCAGCAAAGAATAAAATCTTTCACCATCCTTTTCAAATTTCTTTTTCCGTTCCTAGACATGGGAGAGAAGGCATAGATTAAATCCTGTGGTTTTCATTCTGTCTGGTGAGAGAAGGGAATGAAGGGAGACACTGTCAATTTTCAGGTGGTCAATCCCACTTCTCCCCGGCGGGAAAAAAAAACAAACAACAAAGAATTTGCTTTTACATTAGTCTTAGCAGTTTCAACTTCATGAAATATAATAACCCCAAGTCACTTCACCTACAGATAGGACAGCTCCTATTGGTACAGTTGAAGGCTATACAAGCTACTGCTCAGAGAATGATACTTAAAAAGGACCTGTGCATCAGCCTGTAATCCCGCGCCTTTGGGAGGCTGAGGTGTGTGGATTGCCTGAGCCCGTGGGTTCGAGACCCGCCTGGGCAACTTGGCGAGACCTCATCTCTAAAATAAATTAAAAAATCAGCTGGGCGTGGTAGCGCATGCCTGTAATTCCAGCTACTCGGAAGGCTGAGGCAGAAGGATCATTGGATCCCCAGCAGGTCGAGGCTGCGGTGTCCGGGAGGCAGCCACTGCACTCCAGTCTGGGCGACACAGTGAGATTCCAACTCAAAAAAAAAAAAAAAGGACCAGTGCAGTAGATACTTCCCTCCAATATTTTTCACATACGTTAACCACTCATTCCAATTTTTTTTTAAAACTGAAGAGGGAACACAAGAGTAAACTAATTATATGCCATGGAAAAGTTAATGCACAATGCATTTACACAGCCCATAGTAAGTAAAACATTTCCAACAAAGTAGAAACCTGGAATTGTCTCTTTGAAGGAATTCTTTTGTATTATTTAATCATTTTATTACTGCATTTTAAAAGCTGGTATTAAAGATGGGAGGAAATTTCTGAAAGGTTTAGCTGTAAAGCAAAAGTTTTTTGAAAAGATTTAAGGTAGATGAAGGACTCATATCTTAACAATTGTCGAGTATGAGATTTAATTAAGTTCTCAGCTGTTCAGCACAACTGGAAAGTCACACAGTATTCAAAGCAGCACTAACAATGCTTGTTTGTCACAGACTAAAGCTGACACTCTGCAATTCTCTCAGCACAATGCTGAGAAATTCACATAAACAGCTTTGTGTTGTCTCCTGGAAAATCCAAATACATTGAGCACGTACAAATGTGCCAGGTACAAGAGGCACAGCAGGGGACACACAGAGTAAAGAAAAAAGAACAAACCTCACCCATAGTTTATTGCTATACGCAACCAATCTGTTGCTGGACAAATACTAGGACAGAACTGAGTGACCTCTGACCTCTCAGGAATAGGCTTTTAAAAACTATTTTTTTTTAATAGAGGGAAAGAAATAGGGAGGAAGTTAACATTCATTAACCAAAGCCTACATCAGGTCTGGCACTGTGACAGATTCTTAAAACCCATTATCTCATTTAATCCTTACAATGAGGAGAAGATATTGTAAAGAAAATCACGTTTCAAACTGGGTGAACTAACTCATAAAAGGAAACGGGTTATACAGGTCTACCTGACTCTTTCCACACAGTCAAATGGAGCCCAGATGACCAGGTGGCATAACACTCAAGAGGCTTATAAATAATCGCAGAGCCTTGGGAATAAAGTTCAAGTAGACCTACAGTCATACCCTAACATAGATACCAAAGCACAAGAGGTAGAGATTTTCAGGAAAACATAAGAAGGACTGAATTTTTTTAAAATGGCAAGGGTTTGAGGAAAGCAGGAGAGTCAGAAAACCATGGTACTTTCACCAGGAACAGATAAAGTTCTGTGAGCCACTTCTCCTTCATTTCATCTTTTTAAATACAAACTGTGAAACATAATTCATATATCATAAAATTAACTCTTTTAAAGTGTACAAGTTTAGTATATTTTTAGTATATTTACAAAGTTGTGCAACCTAATGCTAAAATATTTATATCACTCACCGAAAAGAAATCCCACACACATTAGTAGTCATTTTCATTCCCCACTCTACTCACCTTGACGAAGTCACAATCTACTTTCTGTCTCTATAAATTTCCCTATTCTAGACCTTTCATATAACTAGAATCATGCAATATGGTCTTTTTTGACTAGTTTCTTACACTTAGCTTAGTATTTTCAAGGTTCATCCATATTGTAGCATGTATAAGTACTTCATTCCCTTTCATGACCGAATAATACTTTATTATATAGATATATTCCATCTGTTTTATTCTTTTGTATGTGAATATCAAGTAGTCTCAACACCATGTATTCAAAAAACTATTATTTCCCTCATTGAATCATTGTGAAATATCAATTAACCATAAATATCTAAGCTTATTTCTGAACTCTGTTCTATTCTATTGATGCACATGTCTATCTTTATGTCACTACCACTCTGTCTTCATTACTGTAGCTTTGTAGTAATCTTTAAAATTTTTTAAAAATTGTCTTTGCCAAGATTTTTTGTTATTCTGGTCCTTTCTATTTCTACATGGATTTTAGGATCACTTTATCCATTTGTGCAAAATGGCCAGCTGAAATTTTGATAGGACTTGCACTAAATGTGTAGATCAATTTGATGAGTATTGCGATCTTAACAATATTAAATCATTCAATTCATGAACACAGTACGTCTAATGATTTAGGCCTTCTTTAATTTCTTTCAATGATATTTGTAGTTGTTAGTGTATATGTCTGGAAGATTTTTTGTTAAATTTATACCCAAGTATTTAAATCTTTTTAATATTACTACAAATTGAATTGTTTTCATTTTTGGAGTATTTCTTTATTAAAAAGAAATACCCAGCTGGGCTCAGTGGCTCAGCCTGTAATCCCGCGCCTTTGGGAGGCTGAGGTGAGTGGATTGCCTGAGCCCGCGGGTTCGTGACCCACCTGGGCAACTTGGCGAGACCTCATCTCTACAATAATTCAAAATGAGCCGGGCGTGGTGGCACGCACCTGTAGTTCCACCTACTTGGAAGGCTGAGGCGGTAGGATCACTGGAGACCAGCAGGTCAAGGCTACAATGGCCGGGAGCGGCCACTGCACTCCACTCTGGGCGACAGAGTGAGACTCCAACTCAAAAAAAAAATTCTCAACAAGATCCTAGCGAACCAGATTTAACAACACATCTCAAAAATCATCCATCATGACCAAGTAGGCTTCATCCCTGGGTTGCAAGGCTGGTTCAACATTCATAACATCAAAAATGTAATTAAATACATCAACAGTTGTCAAAACAAAAACCACATGATTATATCATTAGACGCAGAAAAAGCTTTTCATAAAATCCAGCACCCCTTCTTGATAAAAACCCTCGAACAGCTAGGTATACGGGGAACATACCTCAAAATAGTAAAAGCCATCTACGAGAAATACACAGCCAGTATACTCCTAAACGGACAAAAACAAGAACCACTTTCCCTGAAAACTGGAACAAGACAAAGATGCCCACTCTCACCCCTCCTGTTCAATATAGTATTGGAAGTCCTGGCTAGTGCAATCAGAGAAGAGAAGGCAATCAAGGGTATTCAAATAGGAAAAGAGGAAGTCAACCTATCTCTCTTTGCAGAAGACATGATCGTGTACCTTGAAAACCCAAGAGAATCTGTCAAAAACCTCCATACACTGATAAAGGACTTTGACAAAGTCTCAGGATATAAAATAAATGTGCGAAGCACAACTGCATTTCTTCACACCAATAATAAACAAACAGAAGCCCAAATAAAAAGCACAATTCCATTCACAATAGCCATTAAAAAAATGAAATACCTTGGCATCTTTTTAACCAGAGATGTGAAAGACCTTTACAATGAAAACTACAAAACACTGCTCAAAGAAATCAAAGATGACACAAACAAGTGGAAAAATATTCCATGCTCATGGGTTGGAAAAATCAACATTGTGAAGATGTCCATCTTATCTAAGGCAATCTACAGCTTTAATGCAATACCCATCAAATTACCAGCAACATTCTTCTCAGACCTAGAAAAAACAACACAGGAGTTCATATGGAAACACAAACGACCAAGAATAGCCAGAACAATCCTCAACAAAAAAAAACAAAGCAGGTGGTATCACATTACCAGACTTCAAACTTTGCTATAAAGCTACAATCATATTGGTATAGGAACAGGCATATAGACCAATGGAATAGAATTGAGATTCCAGAAGCAAAACCTCAATTTCTCAACCTACTCATCTTCGACAAAGCCTCCACCACCTACCACTGGGGAGAGGAGAACCTGTTCAGTAAATGGTGCTGGGAAAACTGGCTGAACACATGCAGAAGAAAGAAACAGTACCCCTATTTATCCCCATACACAAAAATTAACTCTAAATGGATCAGACACCTAAATGTAAAACCTCAAACCATAAGAACCTTTGAAAATGAAGGACATACACTCATGGAAATTGGAACTGGCATCCAGTTCCTGAACAAAACCCAAAACCCACAGGCCATAAGAGATAAGAGAAACAAGTGGGACCTCATTACACTGACAAGCTTCTGCAAAGCCCACAAAACCATCAAGAGAGCAGGGAGACAGCCCACAGGCTGGGAAAAAGTATTAGCCAACACCAGGTCTGACAAAGGCTTAACATCTTGGATCTACAAGGAACTCAAACGTGCTGAAAAGAAAAAAACAAACAACCCCATTGTCAAATGGGCAAAAGATATGAACAGGCACTTCTCAAAAGAAGACATCCGAGCAGCCAACAGACACATGAAAAAAATGTTCCACCTCTAGGCGGGCTCGGTGGCTCAGCCTGTAATCCCGCGCCTTTGGGAGGCTGAGATGAGTGGATTGCCTGACCTGCAGGTGTGAGACCCGCCTGGGCAGCGAGACCTCAACTCTAAAATAATTTTTAAAAAATCACCCAGGCGTGGTAGTGCATGCCTATAATTCCAGCTACTTGGAAGGCTAAGGCAGAAGGATCGCCGGAGCCCAGCAGGTCGAGGCTGCGGTGGTCAGGAGCGGCCACTGCACTCCACTCTGGGTGACAGAGTGAGACTCCAACTCAAAAAAAAAAAAAAAAAAATTCACTAATCATCA